TTACAATAACATCTAAAACAATGATAGAAAAATTGAAGGGGGAAATAACATATCACTACATTAAATGTCATCCCATCTTTTTCTTCTTCTCTTCCACCTTGTACATCAGTGAAGTCTCGATGGGAGATGTAACGTTTGTTGATAAGCTCTGTCAAGAGCACTATTAAGACTAATGTTCATTTCTGTAATGCCTTCACTCAATTATTTCCGAGGTCTTCCTCTCGCTCTATACCCGTTGTAACATTTCAGTGTGGCTCACTGTGACATTCTTGTTTTGCTTGCTTGCTTGATTGTTGTACCCCACCAGGACATCGCACAAGCGATAAACACCCGGTGACACAAAGTGCTACCATGCGGATGAGGATCACCGGTGAAGAGGTTCCAGAAACCCCTTTCAGCCGTTATGGCCACAATTGAGGCTCAGCTATATTCAGGGCCCACGACAAAAGCCAGAGTGGGGTTTCAAAAAAAAGAAAAATTGTATCACACAGTTCTTGTTTTTTAAACCATGACGGACAGTAAAATCAAGTATCAGCAAGTATAAGGTTAATGGAACATTAGAAGTAGAAAGGTATAACTCAGTGTTTCCTAATGTAGAGCCCACGGCCCTCAGGGGTGGAATTTGATTGTTAACTCGGGGAGGGGTTGCAATTTGATTGTTTAAAAAAAAAAGGGGGGGGGGGCAATTTGATTGTTTAAATTTGGGGGGGGGGGCACAATTTGATTGTTAGAGGGGGAGGGGCAATTTGATTGTCTCGGGTGTGGTGGGGTGGGCGGGGGGGGGGGGGGGGGGGGCAATTTGATTGTTAAAGGGAGGATTGGCAATTTGATTGTTAAGGGGGGCAATTTGATTGTTAAGAATCATCACCACTGTACTGTTGTGCTATTACATGTCACAAAGGGTGCTGAGTGGTCTCGAGGTATGGCGTCCGCCTCAAATGCTGGAAGTCCCGGCTTCAAGCCTAGGTGAAGGTTAGGATTTTTTCACCTGGACCTCTATGAATTTCCTCTGGTCTCTCTGTAGTAGAATTAGACGCCAGTGTGTATTGATGCTTACGTACAAAATAATCCCCTGGCAGTTGGAAATCGAAAAAGTAGCCTAACAGCGCTGAATGGGTCACATTTGGAGTTAGTTAGTCTTCCCTCTTGAGCCTAGGACAGCACCTAGGGCAGATGTCAAAGCTCTTGATGTCTAACGGTTCGTTGCCACATGTTTTAGGTCTTGGATGTTTGTAAGGTCCATGGCTGAGCCTTGCCTGATGATGGTCCTACACAGGGTCTCTCGCTTGATCTTCCCCGTTTTCTGTTCCCTTCCGGTGTCCATATGAGGGCTTGGTGGGGCAGTCTGGTCTTATCCATTCTGAGTGCACGGCCGATGTAGCTAGGCTAAATCTACTAAATTGGTGCTAAACAAACATAGATAAAGCCAATGATTTGAAAGAAATATTGAAAAAATGCTAGCTGCATATCCTAATATTAGATACAATAACATACATTTTTTGGGGTACAAATTAGGAGTAGAGTGTTATGTGTCCAGTATGAAAGGACGTATGTGACAAACAGTAAATTGCGATTACAATTCGTGTCCTGCAGGAATGATCAGTATTGCAGCTGTTGTAAGAAATGCCTTCCTACACACAACTCTGTCTTATCTGTTTCTTTCACTTCTCATGGACCAAGGGTCCTCATTCAGCCCATGCAAGACCCACACAGGTCCTTCTTCTCAGTTGCTCACCTTTTTACCTTATTACAAATATTTTCTTCTTGGTCCCTTATCCCTTTCTATCCCCTCCCCCCCCCCCCCCCCACCCCCCCCCCCCCCCCCCCCCCCCCCCCCCCCCCCCCCCCCCCCCCCTCCCCCCCCCCCCCCCCCCCCCCCACCCCCACCCCCCCCCCCCCCCCCCCCCCCCCCCCCCCACCCCCCCCCCCCCCCCCCCCCCCCCCCCCCCCACCCACCCACCAAATGCTACATGAATACATCTTCAATATCTGTATCATTCATGTTCCATTTGCATAGTAGAGGCTGATTCATAGGATGTCCACAGAGATTCTGGACTTAATAAAAGATGTACTTAGTTGGATAGACAATATAATGTAAAAGCAATAGCAATGACATATATACATTGTTTCGTTTAAAATGCAACCCACTATAAATGCAGTCTGACATTTTAGAATTTATAGAAGGGACAATTCAAAATCTACACAATAGTATTTAGTATTCGTGTGTCTGTAAAACGTGGAAGTGTTCAGCCACAAAACAATTCACATCTACACAATGGTATTCGTGTGTCTATAAAACACGGAATTGTTCAGCCACGAAACAATTACAAATACAGTTGTACACTCAGCAAAAAAAATGCACTTATGAGTTATGTAAATTAGCTTACTGGAATGTACACTGCCAATTCCAATATTTCATTTAATAGGTGGAAAACACAAATATATACAAGTCTACACATTTAAAAAAAAAATAAATAAAACAAGTATATGTGTTCCCGAGGAGTGGCTGTCCGAACGGTTGGAACGCTGGGCCCTCAAGCCGGAGACCCGGGTTCGAATGTTAGGTGAGGCTGGGGATTTTTTTCTGTCGGGGGCATACTAAAATTCTCACCTTCATAGTCGTAGCGACAGCGCTAGCCATGGGGTCGTAAATCCTGAGGCTTCAAGTCCCCCTGCCTACACCACAAAAGTGCTAGAAAGAGGGGAGAGAGAGAAGGGGAGGAGGGGGGAGTAGGGAGAGGGAGGAGAGGGAAAGGTATAACAGAGAAGAGAGGGGGGGGGGAAGAAAAAAGGAGAAGAGCAGTAGTATTGGCAGTTTTGAAATGTATTCCGAAATGTAACTGTTTATTATATATCTTTGGTGTCGTTTTCTATAACGAAAAGCAATACAAGTTTTTTTTTTTCAACTGAACCTTGAAGGGAGCCGCCATGATGTAGCGGCTAGATGCTCGCCTGCGAGTTCAAAGGTCGTAGATTCAAATCTCAACGGTACTGGACTTTTTGTGTGTCTCCCAGGTCGATTCAGCTTTAAACTTATACAGTCCTGGGAAGTAAAAGTGGTTTTGGTGTGATTTTTATCATCGCCCATCGAGTGCAGATTAGTCTATAAAATATTCATCTAACCCTATATGCCCAATAGGCCTGAAGGCGTGGAAAGGGCTTCTTTAGTTTACTAGAGATAACTGAACGAGAAAGGGCAGGTGCACAAAGGACAGGTGCATAAAGGACAGGTGCATAAAGGACAGGTGCATAAAGGACAGGTGCATAAAGAACAGGTGCATAAAGGACAGGTGCATAAAGGACAGGTGCATAAAGGGCAGGTGCACAAAGGACAGGTGCATAAAGAACAGGTGCATAAAGGACAGGTGCATAAAGGACAGGTGCATAAAGAACAGGTGCATAAAGGACAGGTGCATAAAGGACAGGTGCATAAAGGACAGGTGCACAAAGGACAGGTGAACAGATGCAAAGAACAGGTGCATAAAGGACAGGTGCATAAAAAAGGACAGGTGCATAAAGAACAGGTGCATAAAGGACAGGTGCATAAAGGACAGGTGCATAAAGAACAGGTGCATAAAGGACAGGTGCATAAAGGACAGGTGCATAAAGAACAGGTGCATAAAGGACAGGTGCATAAAGGACAGGTGCATAAAGGACAGGTGCATAAAGGACAGGTGCATACAATACAGATTGAACATTCCCCACAGTGTGCCCGTCAGACAGGACCACAAAAACCTGAACACATCCTGCAGACCTGCCCACAGACAACTTCGAAAAAAAAAAACCTGGCCTCAAGAGCAAAGTGTGCAGAGCAAAACTATGTGGAACCATGAAGGACCTGCTAGTGACCTGCGAGTTTATAGAGGCGACCCACTTGATATTGTGGTCTGAACATACGAAACGAACGCAAAGAAGAAGAAAAAAAAAAGAATCAAGTGTAACACCGAATTAGATCATTAAGGGAAGAAAACATCCTAAACACATTGTAAAGAATATTTCTAGCTATCAAATGACTTATTTGACAAGTAAAAGGTTCCTTTGCTATGCCTTTACTGGGAATATAGGGCTAGACCTATATCTTATAGAGAAATTAGCGATTGGTTGGTGATATGGTCAGCATCACGCCGGCCGCCTTTACTTCCTAGGACTGCACCTGGTACCCACTCAAGGCTAGGTCGACCTGGGAGTCAAGGTCATTTTTTAGAGAGAAAAAAAAATATGGCTTTGTCAGGACGCGAACCCACGACTTTCTGATCCAAAGGCGGGCGTTTATCCGTCAATGCCACGGCGACTCCCAAATGATTTTTTGTTTTGTTTTGTTATCCTAATGTTTATACTGTCTGTCAGTTATCTGTAGTAGACGTTAATTTATTATTCTTTCTCTTTCCATTATTTCCAAGTAGAAGTTATTTTGTTACCCTTTCTATTTCAATTATTTCCAAGTAGAAGTTATTTTGTTACCATTTCTCTTTCAATTATTTCCAAGTAGAAGTTAATTTGTTGTCCATTATCTTTCAATTATTTCCAAGTAGAAGGTAATTTGATATCCTTCCTCTCCTAATTAGTTTTAGACAGAGGTTAACATGTTTTTTATTATCTCTAGGCTAAAGTTAACATTCTTTCTCATAAATATCGTTCTCTTCCATCTCTAGGCAGAAGTTAATTTATGATCCTTTCTCTCTCAAATATTTCAAGGTAAAAGTAATTTGTTATTCTTTCTCTCTTTATCTCTAGCGGAAATGTGTTATCCTTTCTCTCGTAATTATCTCTAGCTGAATTTAGTTTGTCATACTTTCTCTATTAATTATCTCTAGGTAGAATTAATGGGCTATTCGTTATCCCAATTCTCGTAAATAGGTAACTAAATAGGCATTTAGTTCAGTTATTTCTAGACAGAAGCTAAATTGGCATTCATCCTTATAGTTATCAATTTCAAGTTAATTTTTTCCAGTCTGTCTCTGGCATCATACAACACATTATCACAACCAGCCTACTCGCGTTTATGCTGTCCCTTTGTAGACCTTCAGCCTACACATCATGTTAATAAACTTGTGCAGGTCAATGGTCTTGGATTCTCCAGCTGTTGTTTTCAGGAACATGGCAATTTCTTCATCTGAAAGCTTCCCTTTGCCAGAGTCAATGCTCTTCAGAGCATCAAAGGCTTTGTCGATGTCTATAGTGCCGGATCCGTCCTGTTCTAGTTTTCGGAAGAGCTCAATCATGTCGTGGGCACTGAAATAGAAAAAAAAAGGTGACAAGATGAATAATCGCAGTTGTCAGAGAGGGTCACTTACTTATTTACTTAGTGGCTCCTCTTCTACCCTGGGGTGTAGAGGTTTGTCAGAGAGATCTCCAGACGTCTCTGTCAGCGGTTTTCTTTCTGGCTTTGTTCCATTCCAGTCCTCTGTCAGTTAGGGACTGTCGGATGTTGTCTTCCCAGTGCACCCTGGGTCGCCCTGGAGGTCTGGTTCCCTGGTTCTTAGCCTCCCATGCTTGCCATGGTGGCCGATTTTCTCCCATTCTGCATACATGTCCAAACCATCGTACTGTTACTGATCCACTCGGGTTTGTAAGAAGTGGGTATCAAGATTTTGACGTATTGCCTGATTGCGGACTTTGTCCCTTTTTGTCACCTGGACCACTTTTTTAAGATATCTCACATCTGAGGCCTGAAGCTGGCTTCTATAAGCTGTTGTCATTGCCCATGACTCACACCCGTAGGTCAGGACTGGTACATAAGTAGAGAGGTATACGGCCATTTTCGTCCTCTTTCCAATCTCTCTTTTGATAAGAAAACCTAGGTTTATGGCCTGGAAGAGTCTCCTAGCAGCTGCTTTTCGTGTAGCCAGCTCGGTCTGAATGCCTCCTTTTCGGTCTAATACATCTCCAAGGTGTATCAGAGAGTTATACCAATTAATACTGAGAGGTCCCTGGGGCGGAGTGGTCAAACCATTTGTCTTTGTCCTAGTGGAGGTTTCAACATAACTGTAATCGGGTTTCCCCTTACTTGCTCCGTTCCTGTGCCAGTGGAAATCAAATCAAATGTCCCTCACTGTCACATTAAAAAAAAAAAAACAACAACACAAAAACTGGCGAACAAACACTTAAAGCCGGGACAATCTAGAAGTATGCGCACAAAGTAAATGCGTATGGCAGTTGCTACAGGCGCCAAAGCCAACAGTCGCAACTAGAAATGCGGTTTCTCGTTGATAGAAGTTGTCGGTCACAATCAGTTGGGTATACACATAAATTATTTCATAGCATATTTCACCAGCCCACATGTAAAACGGCTACCGGCCATATTGAAAGGTGATAACCTGCAGTTGTCAGAGAGTTGTACGAATTAATACTTTGAGCTCTCTGGGGAGGGGAGGGGGGGGGGGAGGGTCAAACTGTTTGCCATGCGTTCTGGAGGTAGTGGTTTCATTTCACAGCTGCGTCGTCATTTGGTTTAAGAATGCTGACAATACCAAGATTCCCGGATTTCGTTGCCAGTGCCACGGAGTTCGTGCTTTGTGCAACGCTCTAGGCTGCCAGCTAGCTGTTCAGCTGTGACATCGCAGTATGTAGGGTTAGTACTTCCAGGATAAGAATTAAACGATATCGTGTCAGCTGACAAATTGTAACGTTGTTACCTCGGGTTTAACGAACAAACCACTGTCTACTTTTGTTTGTGTTGCTGTGTTTGAACGAACGAACGAACAAACTTTATTTTCAAAGGGTTACAAATTGGGCACGTAGTCCCGTCTGACATTCCGCCCTTCTAAGCACTCATTTTTCAGAGTACCAATGCCTGTTATCAATAATGCATGTTATAAATATAATAAAGAAATATACATTCTAGAATATTGCATACACACATCATGTGTACATAATCGTACAAACTCACACACACGTATACATACATACTCCTACGTTATCATACATGCACACTCATATACAGACATACGTTATACATACACACATGTATCTGCATACATACACAAACATAAAACTCATACACATACATAGACATAAATGCACAAACAGAAAACACACACACACACACACCTGATTAGCCATCAGGTGGGTCGGGATACAATTCCACCTGTTTTGGCAGGCCACGTAGATAAACAGATTCAGGAATACTTCTTTAAAGGATATGCAACTTAGTTTTTCAGACACTTAGGTTCTTTTCTGTTTAGCGACTACATCACACAAGAATGAGGGACATCCCATATTTGGGGGAAAAAGGGGGGGGGGGGTAGGTTAAGGTTTAATGAGTGGCGACTTCTACTAACTCAAACTCTAACCCTCCGTATAAAATGTAAAAGTAAGTAAAGATCCATTTTTACGCCTTAGGCGCATCGGGTATATGGAACGAGCACCCATATTTTGACAGATCAAATGGCACTAGCTGAGTAATGTGGTTGGCATTACGCCACCCGTCTTCACTTCCCTAGGACATACATCCTGATACCCATTTTAGGCTGTACCCACCCGCGACGCCCCAAACCATGATAAAAATCCACGCAGCCAGACCCTATCATATGGGATGACCCTAAATCTCGCGTATTGTGGGCGATACACAGAAAAGAACCGAAATTGACTTACTTAGCTCCTATTGTCTGATAAAACTGCCTGAACTCCCACAGACTGAGAACGTCATTGTTGTCTTTATCAAACGCCGTAAACATGATCTGGGCCTCAGTCTCCGTCAGGTTGAACTCTGTCTGTAGCATATTCATTGCCTCCGGTTTCTTCAGACGTCTGGCAAAGCTGGACTGGTATTTGCTGAATATTGACAAGGCTTCATCTCTAGGGAGGGAAAGTAATAACAACAATACAATGGTTTACTGTTGTGAAATTCAACAAAGAAGATAAAAACAATAGATTGCACAATTTCTTGTCTGGAATGTCTCAGACAGTTTCTAAATATCAATAACTTCAATAGTTATACCAATAACTCTTTGTTTTCTTCTTCTTCTTCTTCTTCTTCTTCTTCTTCTTCTTCTTCTTCTTCTTCTTCTTCTTCTTCTTCTGCTTCTTCTTCTTCTTCTTCTTCTTCTTCTTCTTCTTCTTCTTCTTCTTCTTCTTTTTTCCACCTCCTCGTCCTTCTTCTCTTCCTCCTCATCCTCTTACATCTACTCCTCTTCTTCCCGCTTTTCTTCTTCGTCTTCTCTTCTTCTTCTTCTTCTTCTTCTTCTTCTTCTTCTTTCTTCTTCTTCTTCTTCTTCTTCTTCCTCTTCTTCTTCAGTGAAGTTGGAACCTCGAGTAACGACCAAAGGTCGGGACTCGAGTAGTGTAACTTTACTCGAGTCTGACTTTAGTCGCCTAATTAATCACCTGCAACTCGACATCGAGATTTTGTCCAGCGACTTGACTTGCGACTGGAAGCTTCGATGACTCGGTAGGACTCGCTGTTTGCGGCAGACCATTAATAGGTTTGTTGGTCAACGTCACAATTTCAAAGGGGGACAATATTACATGTCGTCCCCCATGTGAGATGCAATTTTTCGTTATTTGAACCCCACCCGGGCTACTGTCGGTGGCTCTGAATATAGCCAGGTCATAAATATAGCCTAACGGCTGAAGTGGGTTTCTGTGACATCTCCACTGGTGATCCTCGTCCGCATGGTGACACTTTGTGTCTATCGCTGTGTGATGTCCTGGTGGGGTAAAACGAGAGAGAGAGAGAGAGAGAGAGAGAGAGAGAGAGAGAGAGAGAGAGAGAGAGAGAGAGAGAGAGAGAGAGAGAGAGAGAGAGAGAGAGCGCATGTTTCGATTTATCAAATTCTCACATTCGACTTCATTATCTTTTTTTTTTTTTTAAATAGCTTAATGAGTCCCTTTTTGTCGTTCCGTGCACGATTTTGAAATTATTTAATAAATGAAGTGACCTCACTCGGGACTAGAGTTTAAACTATCAGTGGTGACTTTAGACGGGCGCTGCGAGGTTCCGGCGTCAATACCCGGTGAGGGCTGGGACTTTTTCACGTGGACTTGGATTTCTAGCACTTCCCCGTTGTCTCTGGGTAGTGAGATAGGACGCCCGTGTGCATTGTTGCGCACGTAAAAAAGTCCCTCGGCAGTTGGATATTGAAAAGAGTAGCCCAACGAGTTAAATATATATTCAGAGTATTTCAGGATCATCGCCGGTTCTACAGAACCTGTGCACTATGCTGTGCTTCTTCGGCTCAGACTTGAGTTAGAAGATAAACGGAGCACTTATGGGTTACTACCCGTGTGCCATGATGTTGATCCGTTGTGTTAACCTCAACACCATAGTTTGGTGATTTTAGACAAGGGTTTAATGAAGACTATCAACCCAGCATGGTGAAAATGAGGCATTTCGTGTAATTTTCGGGTGTACAAGAAACACCTCCTGTCAATTGATGCGACACTTACTAGACTTTTCCAGACATCAGACGTCTTGTGTTCTTTGGTGAAATGTTAACTCTTTAAGTCCCAAGGAACACTTCATACGTTCATATTTTACTGACTTGAAGCCCAATGAACGCACGATGCGCCGATTTTAGTCTCTCTTGACTACCCCTTGGGCCTGTGATGCTAAATCCTCTCAGGATCAAAGAGTTTTTTTTTTTTTTTCATCGAACACCGGCTGTGAATTCCAGTGGAAGGTCAGGTAATCGTCCGCTTGGACTTTTGGCTTTCACCTGGACCTGATTTTTGCGTGTACAACCGTTTTTTATTTCCCTGCCTCATGGGCAGCTGTACGCCGACTTCGAAGGAAAGATCAAAGAGTTAATGTCTGGCTGCTTCAGGCTGCACCCCAGTGTCCACCAACCTGCACAAGTATAATGCAGTCTGCCTGTGGCCATGATCTTCTTCGCGATTTGCTACTCGCATAGCATTAATAACTCCTAAGTTTAGATTTGACTGAGGACTTGGTGGCAATGACTTGAGACTTGGTGGCGATAACTAAGGACTGGTGGCAATGACATCTGACATTGTGGCAATGTCTTAGGACTTGGTAACAATGACTTTGAACTTGATGGCAATGACTTGGGACTTTGTGGCAATGACTTGTCACTTGTTGCCAATGACTCTGGACTTGGTGGCAAAGACTTGGAACTTGGTGGCAATAACCTGGGACTTGCTGGCAATGACATGCGACTCGGTGGAAATGACTTGGAACTTAGTGGCAATGACTTTGAACATGGTGGCAATGACTTTGAACATGGTGGCGATGACTGGGGACTTGGTGACAATGACTTGGGACTTGGTGGTAATGACTGGGGAATTAGTGATAATGACTGGGGACTTGGTGGCAATGACTTGGGACTTGACAGTAATGGCTTGGGACTTGGTGGCAAGGAATTGGGACTTCGTGACAATGACTGGGGATTAGGTGGCAATGACTTGCGACTTGCTGACAATGACATGAGGCTCGGTGGCAATGACTTTGAACTTAGTGGCAATGACTTGGAACTTGCTGGCAATGACTTTGAACATGGTTGCGATGAATGGGGACTTGGTGACAATGACTATGGACTTGGTGACAATGACTATGGACTTGGTGACAATGACTATGAACTTGGTGACAATGACTATGGACTTGGTGACAATGACTTGGAAATTGGTGACAATGACTTGGGACGGTGGCAATGACTGGGGACTAGGTGGCAATGACTAGGGAATAATTAGTGGCAATAAATGGGGACTTGGTGGCAATGACTTGGGACTTCGTGACAATGACTTGGTGACAATAACTAGGGAATGATTAGTGGCAATGACTGGGGGACTTGGTGGTAATGACTGGGGAATAATCAGTGATAATGACTGGGGACTTGGTGGCAATGACTTGGGACTTGATAGTAATGGCTTGGGACTTGGTAGCAATGACTTGGGACTTCTTGACAATGACTGTGGATTAGGTGGCAATGACTTGGGACTTTGTGGCAATGACTTGAGACTCGACTTGGGCTTACCGTCTGTAAATTCCGACCGAAAGGTTGGTTGTTTTTGCGTTTGTACTTATGCTTGGTACTGAGTTTTGCGTGTACACCCGTTTTACCGCGGCGTCCGTGGCTAAGGTGTTGCGAGTCTGACTCGTAATCCAACATACCGCGATCGAAACCCACTGTGGGCTGCGTGGATTTCTATCGTGGTATGGGCCGTCGCAGGTCGACCCAGCCCCAAATGGGTACCAGGATGGGCTGTCCCGGTAAAGTAAAGACGGCCGGCGTAATGCTGACCACATTACCCTCCGAGTGCAGATTAGTCGGTAAAAATATGGGTGCTCTTCCCATATGCCCGATGCGCCTAGGGGCGTGTAAAGGGATCTTAACTTTACTTTTACCCGTTTTACTGGTTTTTTTTCCCCCGTGCAGCTTTTTTCTTTGCCTTTCAGGAAGATGTACTCCGAATTCAAAGAAAAAAGCCATTCCATCAGTATCATTTTCTGCACATAGGCACCATACCATGGGTGCTCAAGCTGCTTAGGCAACCCCATCTCAATTCATTTTTGTGAAGGATTCCCCACCCCACCACCCCCCTCTTTAAAAAAAACATACACACAATCTGCAAGGACCTTTTTTATAATAAGCCATGTGTTGAATTGTGAATGTTGTTGAATGTTGAATTAAGAATCAACGACATCACAGCCCTTGGGACACTCCCATAAGGGATCAGTCCACATCTTCAGCAGCAAGCGAAGAGTTCCAATTCTGATGGTACCAGTAACCGTCTGATTGTATATCCGTCTCATCCTTCCCCTGAGTGTTGAGCATCAGCCAGATCCCCTAGTAACTCCTCGCAGCACCATTCTCCTTAGAACGTCATGATCTATCTGCGCCTCCGAGCTGTTTACTCGTTCCCAAAGGGTCCTCACAATATCTAACTTGTCAGACATCAATTCACCCCCAAGTTGTGCAGAGCCAGCCAGTGTTCCTGTCTGCTCATTTCCCAACAAGCCATTTGTAGAAAACCTATTTAAAAGTTCTTCTTTGTATTATTTATATTATTTCAAGTAGATTATTAAATTTATTGGCTTATGATTAGTCTGAAAGGAATTAGTTTCACTTTTGTGCCAGGATACTCAAGGGTAAGAGAGAATGAAAGAGCGGACTGACTTGCTGGCAGGGCCACTGTAAGTACAGGAAAGGAAATGGACCAGGCCGACATTGCCAATGCTCCCAGGGAGACAGGGACAAGAAAATGATCCAGGAGAGGACGGTGAGTCGGCAACACGGAAAGGACTACAAGAACTTCAGGTCAAAAGAGGTATTGTCAATAATGAACTGTTTACAGGTAGCCAAAGAAGAATAGTAAACCAACACAGAAAAATGTGTTACCAGTCACCTTACGCTCTGGAATATCCTGAAGACGGGATCCGAGCACTTAAGGATTTGTCCGATGTGCAGTGAGGATAATCTGTCGATTAAGTAACTGACTAATCCACTTCTATCCCAGTTTTTACTTTAACACATTTTATCATGCAGTCTTCTTCTTTTTCTTTTTCTTCTTCTTCTTCCTCTTCTTCCTCTTTTTCTTCTTCTTCTTCTTCTTCTTCTTCTTCTTCTTCTTCTTCTTCTTCTTCTTCTTCTTCTTCTTCTTCTTCTTCTTCTTCTTCTTCTTCTTCTCTCCTCCTCCTTCTGATTCTTCGTCTACCCTCAAAAGGGCAGTTCTCATGTTATGTTGTGGTCTTGGTTTACAGATGGGCTGTGATGAAGGTGCATTTTAAACTAACACATCCGATTTCAACAAAATTCTAATTATTAGCCTTTTACGACATGCTTATTAGAAACAGTTGTTTTTTAACGCCCCTTTTTTCCCCCTTTTAAACGGGGCATCGA